AAAAACTGAAGATAAGGTAGTGATGTCTACTTTATATATTTGGTCTTAACTCTACTATTTTAATTCGAATTCCCTTTATACAAAACACTGCCTTTTACTTATTGAAAGACATTTTAGTGTGGTTTATGTATACTATCAAATAAAGAATATATAACTCTTCACATATTTATAAATGATTTGTAAGGTCAGACACTTTTAAAAGTCAGTGTGACAAGATTTAGTAGCATGTTAAATTATACCTTTGAATTCTGTTATCTAAGACAGACTAAGTTATATTTCAGGATTGTTAGGCAACTGTTCAAAACCACAGAGAAACTGAAGAACTACTGTATGTGTGTGATTGGTAATGGTGTTTTTGCCAATTTATTAGAAGGATTAAAGTAAAGGAGATATTCCATCAGCATAGATTTGTAAATTATGCCATCATAAAACTTAAGATGATTAAAAACCAAATGACAGATTATGACTTTTCTGTTGTGTTTGATTTAATGACTGATGCCAACACTTTGTTGGTTGAAAAGTACAATAGTCACAAACATCTGCAGTGAAAATACTAGTCATGGTACTAGATTGTGTTGACTTTGTCCTTTAGGACAGAAGAAATAGAATAACACTAAACTAATTCACCATACAGTTTCTTTAGCCAGAATGAGAACAGCATTTATGTCAAATGTGGATGAAAGAATGCTTCTGATCATTGTTTTGTGGTGTGTAACTGTATAATTACACAATCCTTGCCATATTCGATTATAGTAGTCCTGGACATTTTATAGAGGAAGTGCACTTGACCTAAGTCATAAGAAATAGTAAAGGAAGTAAATCTCACTGATAGAGGTGAGAGCCCTGTCTTTGTGGCACAGTGAGGAGACTGGGAAAAGGGCCTCATCAGTACTTCGAAAGTGATAGTGTAGGGACCAGCAGTTAGCGTAATGGCTATGTCGCTGGACTCCCACGTAGTCGACCGCAGTTCGTGTCCTGGACCCGGTGGCTTAAAACTCACGCCGGGCGCATGTGCATGCGTGCCCAAGATCCCGAGAGGAGAATGGAGGAGAAGGGATTGCGGCGTGACCATCCCCCCTGGGGGGTGATTTCTCACTTTCTGTCTCTATGTTTCTGTCTGTCTGTCTGGCGAGCGCACGTGCCCTATAGCGAAAAAACCTCTCCAAAAAAAAGTTAGGGAAAGGAATTTTAAAAACATCTTGGAAGTCCTTCAAAGTTTGAGCCTTTGTGACAAAAAACTTGGTAACTGCATTAAAGATTGGTATTCAGAGTGCTGTAGCAGTTAGCTTATAAAGAGCAATCTCTTTATGCCTTGAGGATGATAAAAAAATATGAGCATGAATACAGAAATGTGTAGAATTGCTGATTCATTACTTGGTTTACAGTTTCAGAAAGTTAATTTTGTCATTTACCCCAGAAATGACAAAGGTCAAATTGATAGATGCTGGTTTACATTTATATTATAAGATAGACCTTTCTTGAAAGTTTGGGTTGGTATGTATACAGAGCATCCCTATTAATAATAACTTAGGTTTAATTTTTTAAAGGTTTAAAAAATCTTATTTCTGTGCCTCCTCAATCAACTAGTGTCTCTTGGCACAGGTGGGTCTCTAACATATTCTAGGCCAGTTATACACCAATACATACCTTTAGGGATTTGTAATTTAAGTGATCTTGTAATTCAAAAGAGACATTCCTGGGGCCAGCAGGTGGTATAGTGGTGATGGTGCTGGACTCCTACATGGCTAACCATGGTTTGAGTCCCAGCGACTTTCAAGCTGGGCACATGTGTGTGCCCAAAATCCCAAGAGAAGACTGGAGGAGAAGGGATTACAGTGTGGCCATCCCCTCTGGGGATGATTGCTCACTCTTGCTGGCAAATGCATGCACCAGTGGCAAAAATCTTTAAAAAAAAATAAAAGAATCCTAGCTATAAGGAGTATATACTCTTAAAAATAACAAAACAGACCAGCAGATGACATAATGGTTACATCACTAGGCTCCCACATGGCCGACCACAGTTAAAGTAGCAGACCTGGTAGCTTGAAACTCATGTGAGTGTGTGTGCCTGCATGCTCAAAATCCCAAGAGGAGAATGGAGTAGAAGGGATTGCAGCAAGGCCATCCACCCTTTGCGGGTGATTTCTCACTTTCTGTTTCTGTCTCTGGCAAGCACATGCACCCTATAGCAAAAAGAAACACAAAAAAATGCTAGCGCTGTAACCTATGCATCTTCATTCCTAGTGTTTCATTGTAGGTTATTAGGTTAGTGGTATCAAAAAGGGGGCCATTTGTTCCAAGTGTCTTTTATACTCTGGATTTTTCCTGGAGTAATGCTGTCCTATAGAATTTTCTGTGATGACAGATGCTATAATACGGATAATTATTAAAAAGTAAGTGTTCTGGAAGCTTGATCTCCAGTGACTTTGGAAGGTGGTGAGACTTCTAAGAGGCAGTGCCTAGTCAGAGGGCACCATCCTATTGGCTGGAAGTGTGGGAAGGAAAAAGTGGAAATGTCTATTTCCTCTTTGCTTTTCTCTGCTACCTGCCAGCCATGTTGTAAGATCCACATAATACTGGCCCCATGCCTTTGTACTTTACAGCTGTCAGGATCATGAGTTAGATTGCACTTAAAGTCACCTAGTCAGGTATTTTTGTTAACACAATGGATATCTAGACCTGTTTATCCACTAATCACACATGGGAATTAAGCACTTAAATACGACTAGTGTGGGACCAGCCTCATACGTGGTTCGAATCCCAGACTTAGTAGCTAAAATGCTGTGCAAATGTGTGCATGCTTCAGATCCTGACAGGATGAAGAAATGGAGGAAAAAATACTGCAGCCTGACCATGTCCCACAGGGGACATGGAGGGGTACGACTAGTGTGGGACCAGCCTTGTAGAGCAGCAGTTAATGGTCATGCGTGGTTCGAATCCCAGACTTAGTAGCTAAAATGCTGTGCAAATGTGTGCATGCTTCAGATCCTGACAGGATGAAGAAATGGAGGAAAAAATACTGCAGCCTGACCATGTCCCACAGGGACATGGAGGGGGGGGGGGAGTGCTTTCTTTTTTCTGTAGAGTACATGTGCCTTCTGGCATTTAAAAAAGTAAATATATGTATATATGGCTAATGTGACTGCAGAGTAGAACTTAAAATTATACTCAACATTAAGTTTGCATAGCCACAAGTGGCTACTGCTATTGTGTCAAGAGCATGGGTCTAGAAGTAGATCAAGTAGTCTGTAATGAAAATATTTCTCCTGGGCTCTCCTTTTTCTTATTCAAGGATTTTTAGAAGTACATTATAATACCCTGAAGAATTCTGATTCCAGTTTCTGTTTCTAAACCAGATATGATCATCTCTAATTTTACCATGTTTTACCTTTCTATTCAGAAATTGGCAATTTGTTTTACTTATTTTTAATTTCACAATAGTACATACAAGAAAGAGAAAGTACCCTCAGTAGGGTCTCATCATTCCATGATCCCTTTCCTCAGTCCTCCAATTCAGTATCCTAACCATGTGTGCACACTCCCTGCATGTTCATTTCAGGCCCACTGGCAGAGTCTTCAAACCAGTTGTCATGTGGCTTCCAGCACTACAGTTCAATATGCTACTAAATGCCACCAGTTCATTTTAGAGAGGTGGTAACAAGTAATTCACCATTAGTTATCCTTTTCCTGTACTTTCCTCCAAATTTCACTAAACCTCAGGATTGTTACCTATTGTAAAGATGGAATCCATATGACTGTTGAGGAAGAAGCCTTCCTATCGCTGACTAGTCTTGGGCTGTTTCTCATCAGTCACATTCAAGTGTAAACTGAACCAATTTGAACCAATTTTCTTACAGTGAAGAACACTCATTTCTAGTGATGGGCTTTTTTGACTCTTCATCATGTGAAATATCTAGAAGCCAAAATGCTGTTGAGCATGGAATGAGAGCTATATTCATACAGTCAAGGCTTATAATTCGCAATATACGATTGTACCTGTAAGTTAATCCACACAAATTAGTGCTAGGGTAACACTGAGGTGCTAGTTTGGCTGTGTTTTTTGTGCCTCAGACTGACTTTCCTGCTGTTCACATCCTTAGATTATAATAACAAAGATACTGGATTTTTCCTTAAGAATTGGATTCCAGATCATCTTGGAGTTTGAGTTTTTTTGCTATCTCTTGTTTCATTCAGAAAGCTAAATAGGTTTATGGTGTTTATTTCTCAAAGACTGAATAAATGTCCAGGTTTGGGGCCAGCAGATAACATGGTGGTTAAGGCATTAGATTTTCATATGGCCGACCAAGTCCCAGACCCAGTAGCTTGAAAAATGGTGGGTACCCATCCACACATACCCAAAATCCCAAGAGGAGAACAGAGGAAAAGGAATTGTGACATGGCCATCCCCACTGGGGGTGATTTCTCACTTTCCCTCTCTATCTCAGGCAAGTACACATGCCCTATGGCAAAAAAAAAAAAAAACCACTAAACTAAAAAAATTAATAATTATATAAAAAGTAAA